CAGAGAAATGAAGTAACAAGTACAACATAACAAAACATCTGTTGTATTAAATGCTCTCTAACTTACCACAAACAGCTGTTGTATCCTTAGCTTATTTACCTCTACTCACTGCAAAGAAAATAGCATGAACTAGATCATTACAATTGCCCTTTTTGGCCTTAAATTCTGAGGCACAGCAAGCAGTTACATTTAGAGGTACAGGGCAACTTTTTCAAAAGCGGCTTCCAAACTGCAGTGCCCAATTTGGCAAATATAAAACCTAAATGCTTAGAGGAGCTGAGGGGGGGCTATGTATGGTTACTTAGCACAGGGGGGGACACGGCAATCAAGTCCTAAATTTCAAACATTTGGATTACAGAAACAGCAAAACCCCCAAACAGAGACTGCTTTTGAAAAATGTGGGCTGCATGGTCTTCATGTTTTTAACAACATAAATATCTTAGCTAAAGGCTGGTTACCAGTTCATATGCGTAGTCTGAGGAGGGAAAAAGAGAGGGGGGTTTTCAGAATAGTTGTCAGGAAAATCACTTCAGACTTGCAATTTATACCAGGGATTTGGAAAACAGTTAGAAGATGGATATTAGAATACCTCAAGGAGAGTAAGAACTGAAGAGATACAATTAACCAAAAATGTTGCTATTTAATAATATATGCAGTAGAGGTATTGCTTAAATTTTACTACATAACTTTTATCCTCTACTTCACCTCTTAGTCAAAGTGAAACGGGCAAGTGACCCATGGAGCACTATGTACATTACTGGGCTGAATTACTCCTTCTGAAGGATGTCTGATCTAAAAAACCATTAATAAAACAGGAGCGCAAAGTGTCACTTCAATTGAATAGTCTTTTTCTTTTCTTCTTTTCCCCCCCACAATGATGGGCTTTCTGAGTGCTAACATCTAAAGTAAAGAAGAGCTTGATGTTATTGTACATAGTTGTCTGAAAACATCTCAGTGCTCAGTAGCTGTAAGAGACAAAAGCTAGAATCCTAGAAATTACTACAAGAACTGAAAACAGAAAATATCACTATGCCACTGTATAAAACTGTCTATGCCCATCGCTTCAATGCTGTGTGCAGTTCTGGCCTCTGCACCAACAAAAGGAGATGATAAATATATCTAGAGGAGGTACACAGAGGGATGATCCAGGGCATGAAAGGGCTTCTGTGCAAAAAGAGACTGAACAGGTAAACAATAGGTGACTGAAACAGGTTTGATAGAGGTCTATAAAATAATGGTATGGAGAAAGTAAATAGGGATTTACTATCTACAATCTCTCACAATACCAAAAATAAGGGATATACAAGGAATTTATTAGGAAAAAGGTTTTAAACTAGCAGAAGAAAGGTCTTCTTCAGGCAGAACATAACTTTTTGAACTCATTCCTAGCTGTTTCTAAAGCATATAGTGACATGCTAAGGCAACACAGCAATCACATGCGTCTACAGCCAGTAGGGCTGTGCAGAGCTCCGGTCACATTCAATTCAGCCCAATTCAGCAGCTGAATCCGAATCAAATCAGAGACCCTTTAATCTCTTCAAATCGATTCAGAACCCTTTGAATCAATTTGGAGAGACACAGCTTTATGTTTTTTCTATATACCTCCAGGTACCAGGCAGCTCGTGAATGCTGAGATGCTGGGGTGGATGGAGTGTCCCACAAGAGCACAGGGGGGTCTCCAGCATGCTCAGCAGTGGATCCCAAGTTTGGTCCAATTCCAGGTCAGCCAGGGAGCGTGCTGGGGGGCCCCCCATACCCCCTCCAGCTTGGTGACTGATGCCTCCTGGGTCTGGAGGGGGGCACCCAAGGTCCCCCGTGGCCAATCACTGAGCTGGGGGGTGTGCAGGGGAGACTCCCCGCACGCTCCCCAGCAGACCCAGAAGTACTTCCAGTCCACTTCCAGGTCCACCACAGAGCACGTGGAGGACCCCTCCTCCCACCCCTGGCTCAGCAACTGGTGCCTCCTGGATTTGGGGGCACCCAGGGTCCCTCCCACAGCTGATTGCCAAGCCAGGGAGGCGCAGGGGGGGTCCCCCCATGTGCTTGGCAGCAGACCCAGAAGTGGACCAGAAGTACTTATGGTCCACTTCTGGGTCTGCTGCCAAGCACACAGGGGGCCCCACACTGCTGTGGCATGCTCCATCCATCCCACCATCTCAGTGTTCACGAGCCACATCTGGTACCTTGAGGCATGTAGAAAAAAACATTTAAAGCTGTATCTATGGCTGAGTCACTGATTCTCCAAATCAGAATTGAATCTTCAGGATCCGATTCAGCCGAATCAAAAATCGGGACAGTGATCCAAATCAACGAATCGAATCACCTGCTCCCCGAGTCAGGCCGAATCCAAATCAAATATGGCCCACTTCACACATCCCTAAATCGCCGGCTATAATCACCATAGCTGTGCGTTCCCCAGGTATAGCACGCTACTATGGCAACAGTAGCAAAATCTATCCATGCACCACGCACAGTGCAGTAACCACCCATACTGTGCCTTGCTTTGGCACCGTACAGCAACCAATGGCACTGTACAGTGACATGTACACACACCCGAAGTGTATAATGTTTTGTGGCTGGTTTGTATGGCATGATAAACCATGTGTGGCATGTGTCCCAGACCAGGGCTGCCCCATCCAGATGCCAACAATCAGCTAATTATCAGCATCCAGACAGGGCAGTCCAGGGTCCAGAACTGGGTGGGGAGGCCCAAGGCTCTACATAAAGCAACAGGTTTCAAGCCTTGCCCTTCAGACTCCCAAGGGAATTACAGAGTAATGCAACAAACCTTTCAGGTTGCAGGGAGCCCTGCCCTATGGAAATAAGACCATTTGCATTAGTTAACATGATGTTCTTTCAACCTTGCTGCATAATTCCATATTGATGAGATGGTTCAACATTCACTAATCATAATTCTATCATAAAATGCTACTAGAACATGGAATCAGATCAGTTAAGTGCTTTGAAACATAGGTGTCAACTTTGCGGGTGCTCTGGGGCTTAAGCAATCACTGAAAAAAAAATTAGCAGGTGTTCAGGCATTTTAAAAAAAGGTTTACTAGAAGCAGCAGCGCATTACTTCAACCTGGTTGTGCAGCATCTGTAACAATAAGGTGCTTCAGTGGTGCTTTTAGCTAAAGCTGATTCAATCGGCTATTAGATAAAAGTGCCAAAAAGACCCACTAAAGCGCTCAATTTATACGGACGCTGCAGAGCCAGGTTGAAGTAACACGCTGCCTCTTCTGAGCATATGTGGGGCTCAGAACAGGAGTTTAAAGCAAAGCTCCAGCATTTTTTTTTTGTTTTTTACATCTGCAAGCACCCACCAGCAAAAAAAAAAAAAAAAGTCAGCACCTATGCTTTGGAAAAATCTGATATTAAGATGTATTTATTTTTCTTTGGCATATAAAATAGTTAACAAGAAACAAAGAAAAAGCATTAAAATAGATGTAAATACTCATTACAGCCAGACAAAATTTGTGGGTTTGGGGAAGGAACCAAAGCTTCAACACGGCTCTGTTTTAGCTATTAAGTCACAACAGTTGGTGAGATTTTGTGCCACTTCCCTACGAGACAAAGTGACTCATACACCACGAGAAGAGAGGACTGCTTTGGCTTTAAGCCAATTTTATACATTCCTTTCAGAGCTGCTCCATAAGCCAAAAGTGGTTCCCATCATGACTACAAGAGCCTAGATGATCAGGCAGCAGCGCTGCCAAAAATCTGGACAGCACTGTATACAACCAAGGCCTTGAAGTGCCCTTTTTGGCCTCAGCCTTGCCCCTCAAATACCTTATGTCACAGCTTGCAATAGAGGACAAGAGAGAGTCTGCAGCAGTCCTCCTCACTTCCTTTGCAAAGGGAATTCTCCCACAGCCCATTTATGCTACTCTGGGCAGAAACAGGCCATTGCAGTGGTTACCCCAAGGCATATGATGGATCGTCACAACATCAGGGACAACTGTACTGAAATGGGGACACTGCGGCCCTCAACAGCAACAAAAGTTTTGTGCTAATGCAGTCAGCATCAGCTATTCAACACAGGTTGGCAAATATTCAGCCACCTAATACTTCAACTTTGCAAAACATTTTAAGACTACAGTGTCGACGCAAACTGTTCTGACATGCACCTAAACAATGGGACATGGCATATTTTAGAAAAAGAAACATTTGTTGGCCACTGTTAACAACTCCCATCATTTTATTTGAAGCTGTGTGATACCGAGTCTCCTCAAAGCCTCAGTTCCTAAAATTATATGAGTATCTCAGCTTGCTTTCTCTTCCTTCCATTAATTTCTAGCCCTCCTCATGGCAGAGAAAAGATGAAAAATGTGGCCCAAGTTCACTCCAAACCAGAAGGTATATACAAAAAAAAAAAGTTTTAAAAACCTTATGATGTTGGGACCCAATTCATGAGCACCTGAGATTAGCAAAAACAAGCAACACCTAAGGAGAGAGAAATCCCGTATCTAGTAAAGGTCCCTGGAGTTTTGCTCTTGAGCATACAGTCATTTCAAAGTAAATGAACTAAAGAATTGTGAAGGATACACAGACACACACACACACACACACACACACACACACACATATAATGCCTTCTACTTTTACCTAACTTTATATATGTATGCTATGCATCAGTCAGGATCTTTCAGCCTTTTGCATAACTAACTGTTTCTCTGTATACTCTCCACTTCAAACAAAATGCACATGGAAAACACATTCTTATGTTGTGAATTTATCAGTAATATCAGTTTCTGAAATAATTTTGGAAATCATGCTAAAGTGGTATGGCTCTTCAACCCTGCTAGTTATACACCATATACAGGTTTCCATCAAGCTAATGGATTCCTATCAAGAAACAGAGACCAATGCTTTTAGATCCTGATGCAGACAGCCAACCCTCAGGTGTCATAACTGATAAGGGATTTATTTGCAATGATTCTTAACACTGCAATACAGACAACAACAAAAATACACCACAGGGAGATGTTTTCACTTACGTGGTTTATATAGAGACTCTTGCGTTTCTCTCTCACTGCAAAAACATAAAAATGTAACAGAAATATTATATGGCTGAATTTTCTTTTTTCTCCATTATAATCAAAAAAGTAGAGGAGGATATCTATGTGCATCATCATTAACACACTAAGTACATGAACAGAAAGAAACACATATACCTATACACTTAAAGGTATTCTCCATTATGGTGTCTAATTAAAGCTATTTATTTATTTGGCTATTTCAGTAAGGACTTGTCACCATGGGGAAGTTACTGGGTGGTAAATTACTCCACTAAAGCTACCTTGCACTGAGTGAATTATAAAAGACTGTCCATATAGTGAGTTAGAGCAGACTACCATACTGGTCATTAACTTCGTTGTGTAGGCAAGCCTTAAGACTACAGGCATTGGCTCTCCCCCTCCTAAAATGAGTGAACGTAATCCTGCAGCTGTTACTTATGCTGAGCAGTTACACACTTGACTACTGTAGGAGTACTACCCAATATCACAATACTACTTACTCACCGTTTTGGCAAGGGTTGCAGTCTGAGCTACAGTAGCTTAAACACTTAAAGATAGAGGGGGGAAACCCTTTAACTGTTAGATAAGCACTTGTCACAGCTGATTAAATATACCCAATTTTAATTGTTAATAATAGTCTCCCTTAGGCAGTCTGCAACACACTGTTCCACAATGACAATACCACTGCATTTGGCTGCCTCCAGACCAACAACTTTATACATGGGCCAAACTGAAAGATGAAAGTAGCAGCGACTCCAAGCCTTGGTTAACTGCACTTGGGTGTACTTCCCCTATTCATTTCTATTCCTTATACTGTGCCCATCACTGACTCAGCTTTCCAAAAGTACATTAAGTGACAGGACTAGCATCTGCCATGTATTTCTTGTGTGAGAGAAAAATTTAAAGTTTTTATTATTTCTTTTCGTTTCATAGATAGCTGACAGTACAGGCATGATCACAATCATACTGTAGGCACTGACATGCAATGAGTCAGGGACAATATTGTACAAACATACCCTTTGCCTTCACTACAGCCTTCCAGTTTTTTTAAATAGGCTATTCATCACCCTCTCTCTCTCATTTTGTCTGCTGATTTGTTGCTGCTGGTTTTTTTCTTCACCCTTCAAATCGCTCCATGTTCCTACCAGCATACAGTTCCCTGGTTAGCAGGGTTAGGACAGCCCTAATGGCTAATTCATTCCATGCCTTTTACCTTCTTTCCACTCTTGGTATATAAACAGCCCCTTCACTCCACCATCAATCATCAAACTGTAGATTCCTCATTCCTTGCAAGACAAAGGTTCATCTTTTCCTCCCTCAATCTTTTTCCAAAAGGTAAGAAAATTTCAAGGGTTATAAGCCCCAGTGGAGCTGGCTGGCAGATGCCAATGATGGCTAGCCCAGCCTTAGTGCAAGGAAATTTATGACAATGGAAGGTCAGGCCTAGCAAATTTGTTATCTTGCTACTGTTCACCTCTGCTCCCTATTCTTCCCACAACCACCCCCTCTCCCTGTAGGGATAGAGACACCTGGTATAAAAGAGATACCAAAGACACTTCCTTCCAGTTTTCCAAGCCTACACAAAGGTGATTCTTCACTATTGGCTCTAATAGAGAAGAGAACACTTGGTCCTCTTACACAGCATAAGTGCCCTTGGCCCCAGTATAATTTGGTTTCATTATAATCTACTATCACTTGGTCTCTGGGCTACAAATACTGTGTTTAGCTTCCACGAATGATTTTGAGATCAGCTGAAGTTGAACAGACCAAGTGCCACAGTTTAGAAGATCAGATACTAAGTCCCTCTTATATTTTCTTTTTTACTTCTTTGTAACTTGTTTCCTGGGAAGATACAAATGGATGGGATAGCTACCAGAATTTCTTAATTTTCTTGATTTTAAAGCCAAATGACCTGTTCCCATTTTTGCAAGCACTTCTGAATTGTTCAAGTTGCATTTTTATTACAGTAGGAGGAATGCATTTTCCAGTAGTAACATGAGGAGGAAACATGATGTTTTTTCTTTATTATTCTGCTCTCTTAGTACCCCTTTGTGCAATGTGTACAGGCAGTTCTAATGGCAGACTTCACAGGATAAAAGGCTTAATAATTACACATCAATCAAAACCTCTCATGTTTTGAGAACACCTAAATAATTTAGATGCCCCTTCCTAGAGAAGCAGGGGAATTACTAGTCATGATCTGGAGGGCTGCTTTATTTCTGCCCATCCCATAAATAGGAATTTCCAAATGTTCTTCTGAACTCAATTACTATCCCAAGCCTGCTAAATTTAGCTTGTAAGGACCTAATATATAAAATGGAGAAGGCAGGCAGCTGTACCCCAACTAATGGAAAGGGCTATTCCTACCACAATGAAATAGAAATCAAGTCTCATCCTCGTTACAGAGGGAAAATTACTTCACTGCGATTGTTGGCTTTGAAAACCCTTATTTAACCACAACCTACACATTAAACAGTACACAGAACCTTCCATTACAGACAAAAGCACTGCCCTATTCCCAGGCGAGCACAAAGCAAAATCAGCATTATGCTTTAATATGAAAGTAGTAAAATAATCTTAAAAATATATGAAAGCGAGTGTTTTCAATACCATGATTAACATCATGAGCAGTTCCTTTAAAAAAGGAAGACTTTTAAAAAAGTTACTTTATATAAGCAGGGATTCTATGAGCTTTTATTAAGCCTTAAGAAAGTCAGTGAAGACTACCACATCACATCAGGACATAAGTAACCAAAATAATCTTATCTTCCTTTACATAGCATGAATGACACTATTTGGTGTTATGGGACACGCCTGAATATTTTGTGTTCTATGCAACTCGCCTACTTACACAATGGGTCTGATATACGAACAGGCATACTGCTTACTACTGTGGGGTTCTCCAATACAATGCGATTGTTCCTGGCATTGCATCTAGTAGTAGATGTTTGCAAAAACAGCTTTTCTGTTGTATCTGCATGTAAAATTACCCTTAGTTTTTAAATCAACATCAAGACAAGTAGTGGGTAAGTTTAGCTAGGTTGGAAAAAAATAGTTTATTCTCTTTTAAAGAAAAAGCTGGCATAACTTTTGAAAGGTTAACATCCATATTACAAATAGCTAATGATATTATGTAATAAGCATTAATTATAGTAATTGGAGCCAGGCAATTGCTTTGACCATTTTTTGGTCAAAGTTTCATTATTTTTCAACGAGTTCACAACACTTAGCATTTATACAGTCGTTTACATGGGACAAACCATGTAAGCCTCCCAACACTATGGTGATTTACATTAAGAATTAGCATCCCCATTTTAAAGATTACCAAACTGGGTGGAAAAGGGGCTGAGCAAGTCGATATGACAGTCAAAGCCCTGGCTCCTGTTCTTCACTCAGTCCACTGTACTATGATACCTTTGAGTTACAGCTACAATCTCACAGCTCAAGTCCTTTTGCGCCTTCACGGTGCATAGATGTATGCGCACAGGCTGCCTGCGGACTTAAAGCCCCCCAAAACGGTGCTTTCCTTTAAACTCTGCACACTCCCGCACTGAACCCAGCTCATGCCCAGAAGAAGCAGCACATTAGCTGGACTCAGCTCACCCAACATCTATATCAATTGGACACGTTAGTGGGGCTTCGTTGGTCGTTTAACTAATAGCCAGTTGAATCAGCTTTTAAAGAAGACTACCAAAAAGCCCTGCCGAAGTGCCCAATCTATACAGGTGCTACAGACCCAGGTCAGAGTAACTCTCTACCCTTTCTGGCAAACCCCTTTCACTTTTTCTTCCCCCTCCAAATGTCTTCAGGCAGCAAAGGGCTAGGAGCTAAATGCATCTTTGCTGAAGGGCTATGTTAAACAAGCAACTGGGAAAAAGAGACTAAAAACAGTGTCACCTCTAGGGTATCTGAAAATATTAAGATGCCCCCAGCTACATAAGACCCAAGTAAAGTATAATTTGCTCGGAAAGTCTGAACAACAAACAACGCAGCTTGCATCTATTATTCACGTCTTTGTCTGTCAGAATACTAATATGATACAAGCCCGATGCTGACGACTGAAAGTCACTTCCACGCTGCTAATTACATCAAGGAGGCTCTCTAAACAAACAGGCTCTAGTTACCTTTATCACTGAATAAAAACATTCCATAAAGTAAAAGGACAATGTGAAATCTCGCTAACCCATGAAATTAACTCATATGAACCTGTGTAAAAAGTCTACCCAGCAGCATGATGAAGCTGGGTTCAGTTTAGAGAGGCTGGATACTTCCTTCATAACACGTTTCAGCACTTGTGACTGTTACAAAACATCGAACAGATGATAATTCAAAGACCTTAAAGAGCATACAGGCCTGACCATATAAAACCTTGCACCAGGTGAGAACCGTAGTTTATTAGAGAGTTTCTTTAACTTTTTTTTAATATTTGTAATAAATATTTTAACAACTAATATTTTATAATTTGGGGTAGATTTTGTCCAAGATACCCCCCTTCCCTCTTCTAGAGCCTTTCTGCATCAACAGATAAAGTATGATACTGCCTGGTACCAAATAAATATAACTACTGCTTCCTGCTCAAAAGACCAGTACAGGCCATGCATGACCTCATGAACCAGAGTGAGTAAAGCTGTGACCACAAAATACTACACCTGGGCCAGTTAGGTTTGCTTCCAAGCAGGGCTAATTAGTGCAGTGCTGCTGGTGGGCTAAAGTAACTATATCACCTGAAACTGGGAGCTGTGTGGGTGGCTACTTCCACTTCTGGAGGTCAGTGGAGTAGCTGGTACTGTGCCCAGGGATTTGCTCCCCAAATACTGACAGTGTGAGTAACATAGTTTCTAGGGTCAGAAGAGACCCGAGTAGATCATCTAGTCCAACCCCCTGCCATGGCAGGAAAGAGTACTGGGGTCAAACAACCCCAGCAAGGTGATTGTCAAGCCTTGTCTTAAAGACCCCCAGGGTAGGAGCCAGCACCGCTTCTCTTGGAGATCCAGATCCTAGCTGCCCTGACCGTGAAGTAGCGCCTCCTGGTATCTAGCCTAAATCTACCCTCTGCCAGCTTGTGACTGTTATTCCTGGTCACTCCAGGCAGTGCTCAGGGGAACAGGGACTTCCCCAATGCCTGCTGATCCCCCCTGACAAGTTTGTAGCAGGCCACTATATCCCCCCTCAGCCTTCTCTTGTGGAGGCTGAACAGGTTCAGGTCCCGTAGCCTCGCCTCATAGTGCCTTCCCTGCTGCCCCCTGATCATGCGAATATCTCCATTTACTCAAATTAGGGACTGACCTATTAGATCTAAAAGAAACCAAGCTGCCATTAGAGTACCTCACTCTTGTAGAGCACACCAAAGAAAAACAAAACTTTAGATCCAAGTCTTTGGTTTGCACTACAGGTGGCTGTGTGCATTAGTGTAATTATTCTAGATGATTAGATTTGTCTGTTATAGATGATATCCCAAAAAAGAAAAAAGAAATGTAAAATAAACCATTCAAAAGAGACTACCACATGCATTCCAGCTAAGGGCTTAGAAACAGTTTTAAGAGTGAATCTTATAATAAATACAGCAACTTACCATCTGTTTGAGATTTACTGAGGAATATTGTGCTGGCCCGTGGGTGATCTGATGGGTTGAACTCCATGTTCAAATCTGGAAGGGAAGAACAAAGTATGTTACATAGCTTACAAACTACCCAGTGGCATAAGCAATTTTTATTATTCCTTTTAATGAAGCTGAAAGACTGATCTATTTTATAGGAATTGCTTAAATAGATGATGTTTAGGACCCTTTAAAACGTACGCTTTAGGACATACAGCCCTGACTCATGCAATAGTGCACAGCCCCACCAGGGGAGACGCCTTGTTGGACCTAGTGCTGGCCACGGGTGATGACCTGGTGAGGGGGCTGCGGGTGCTCGACCACCTGGGTGACAGCCATCATCGCCTGCTGGAATTCACCATCCAGTGCAAGGTGGCAAAGGCATGCAGTAAGGCAGCGGCCCTAGATTTTAGGAGGGCAAACTTCAGTGAGCTAAGGAGGATAGCTGGAGAAGCGCTGAGGTCCCGGAGGGGAGGGGAGCCAGGGGTCCAAGGAGAGTGGTCACTCCTTAAGGAGACCATCCTCCAAGCCCAAAGGAAGGTAATCCCAATGAGGATCAAAGGGAGCAGGAGAGCACACAAGCCTCCATGGCTCACCAAAAGCATCCGGGAATGTCTCCTTGCTAAAAAGGAGG